CAGAGGGAGGCAGGGAGGCACATTATATGGCTTTCATGAAACCTACTGGTTTCTAAGCTTTGCTTTGGTCCTTCTCTTCTGATGCTTCCCTCTTCACACCCCTGACGACAATCCCTTTTCTTTGTCGTCTCACCGTCTCATAGTGAGATGATCGTTCCTACCGTACTAATCACTTGCCACTGAACCACCTTGCACTGCACCCACAGGACGTCCTGCGGTCAAAGTGGAAGGCCGGCAAACCGATGAATCGACTCATCGAGCAAGTGCTATACATGACAATGTGATATAGTCAGAAATGTAAACACTCTTAACAGTAATCCGACAGCAGATCGGTAGGGTTCATTTTCGTAGCAACATGTTCTTATTCAGGTGGACAAGAGGAGGTAAGTGCAGTACTTGTTCTTCTGCCTTGCTGGTACACAACTTGCAAAGGCACCAAGGAGTAGTTGCGCTGTCCTTGAACCACAGTGTTAGATTTTTGTCGGACTATGGCTTTACTGCCCGCCTCGTTGTCGCAAGTAACTGGTTTTTGTCCCTCGTTCACTCAACCACGCTGTGCAGTCATCCACGATTGTCGCAATGGGCTCATCAAGCCCAAATGTAGTCGCTTACTGGGATAGGGCGCGCGCGCATGTACAGTACTTTCTAGCTAGTGACTTGACCGACCCAGCCATAGAGAGAGAGCCAGTCGATTGAGAGACGCAGACGCATGGAGAGTTGACGTGCCGCAGCACTGCTACATTGTGTGGATTGGGTCCCGGTGCGATAACAGCCTGCGTCACCCCATCATCTCGGCTCAAAGTGCGTGAAAACGAGAGACGGCCAGGGGTCACCGCCGCGCTCGAAACTAGGTCACCGCACGCGGCGACCTGTTCGCGTGGCGCGGCGGTGAGTCCTGACCTGGCATTTTGCCAACTTCCGATCAATATGACCCTATCGCAGTTTGCTTGGAGCGTTCTCTCTTTCCTCATCTTCCATCTGCCAAGAACATGTCCAAACAGGTAGACATGTTCAAACATGCAAACATGTTAAAGCATGTAATCGCCGCGCGCGGTGACCCACTTCCCAGCGCGGCGACCTAGTTTCGAGCGCGGCGGTGAGTCCTGACACACACACACACCACACACACACACACTCTGCGGCCAACGAACAGCACCATCACCACACACACACAGCACAACACACACACACACATTCACACACACACATTTGAACGGGAGAGCACACATCACACTGACACACGACACACAATTGTGTATCACATAACGGTCACAGCACATCACGACACACGCCGCACGAGATGGTCACCACACACACACACACACACACACACACACACACACACACACACACACACACACACACACACACACACACACACACACACACACACACACACACACACACACACACACACACACACACACACACTTGTGAGGGCACACAACAAATTCAACACACACACAAACACACATCACATACATACACACACACACACACCGTGAAAAGGATACCAGCCGAATGGCGACGAAGACAGTGACCCTCCCTAGCCCCTATTACGCCCAACTTTCATTCATAGAGGGTCTCCTCGTAGTGCTTGTTAGTGAGAATGGAATAAGAATAGCTGATATTAACAAGAAGGTACTTGTCCATCCTCGTTCTTTCTTCGCCTTGTGCCCGCGAAAACCCGGTTTGGCTAGGGGTCCTGTCTGGGGCATTTCGGATACCACCTTTCCGTTGAAAGTTGAACTGCACAGCGCACATTTCTGACTTACGTGCCTTAAAGCTACTACCAGCAGCATTTCTCTGCAAACGTGCCATATCGCATATTTAGGTGTAGATGCGTTTTCTTTCTCACCTATCCTACACACCTGCACGAAAGATTGCACCGTTTGCCTCTTCTGTAAGGCTAGGTTCATCCTTTGTGGCAGCGTCCAGCAGCGACCACTAGCGTCCACTAGCGAATATCAGTGTTTGGAGCATCAGTGACTAGAAAAGAATAATTATCGACCTAGCTAACGCAGCGTCTACCAACGGCCACCATCGACCAAGGGGCGCGGTATTAATACGGTGCGGTTCCACACGCCACAATTTCGCGCCACGCCTGATCTGTCTGCTCCCTACTACTCCCCATGGTCTACCAGCAGTCTGCTACCCTCCTACTTCCCCATACTCTCTACTCCTGGTCGCTGGTGGACGCTGCAGACGCTAGATCGATATCTATACTTTCCTAGTCGCTGACGCTCATGGACGCTCGAAACGTTGATGGTCGGGCGACGCTGCAGCAAATTATGAACGCAGCTCAAGTCAAAAGAGAGGGTGTCAATGCTCAGAAAAGCAAATTTTGAAAATAGTTGAGAGCAAAAGGAAGGTGGGAGGAGCATAATGTTACGAAAGAATAGTATGACCGCTTGACTGCGTTGGTCTTTTTAGAAAGAACGCAGGAAGCAACGCTGCCGGATGTCCAGTAAGTTCAGCGGTATCCATTGAGTCAGAAAAAGATACTGCGCATATCTGGGGGCAGTGCACGGCGTAGCTGTTAAGATTCAAAAAAAAGCAGAGACATATGCACAAGAGAAGAGGGTCGGCATGGTATTGCGCAGCCGTCTCAAGGATGCCCCACTGGCCTCAGATCTGCACTGTACATATCAGACATGTACCTTATCTTAGAGCCTTACCTTAAAATCTAGACTGGACAGACCACCCAAAGGAAAGGCGCGTGGCCGTAAACCTCAAAAAGGAACGAAACAACGATCAGTCGAAGAAGGTTCGAAGAGAGAGAAGAAAAGGAGTTCGCAAGAAAAGTTAGTTCACATGAAATGAAAACCCGCTCAAGCCAGTCAGGCCCACAACCATGCTCACTACGATATGCAGGATAGGGGAGGGGGTACAAAAAAGGCTCTTTGCTCACTGAGCGTATGCCTAAAACTTAGTTAGAAGTAACGCGGCTAGTGGCGACACACCGGACAGTCTCATCGGAAACTTATATCAACCCTTGTACCTTCCAAACCCTTTAAACGAGCGTGGCTAAGTCCCTAGGTCCTTGACGATCAACCACCGCGATCGAGCAAGAGGAGCACATTGCGGTTCACAATCAATGGGGCTTAACGGCGATGCAGTACTACTTTACGGGCGCAGTTCGGCCACGAGTAGGGGTGGGCATTTCGCTTCCCATCGATGTGTCGACCCATTTGGTTAGACGAGCTTGCTCCAGCTTCACAAGAGTTCACAAGTTTCACCAGAGTGAGACTTGTAAACCGGAAGTAGTGAAGCAGTGAAAGTGCAAAATGCCCCCCGTCGCCGAACTGCGCCGACTTTACCTCATAAGTGGAGTGTCTTTCAGCCCCCCCCAACCCTCACTATTGGTAGGGCAAGACAGCCGTAGGCGGACTAATCTGCCCCTCGTGACACCGCCCCGCCTGACTGCGACGCTACGCAGCGTTCAAACTTCACGATGATGAGCATCGACGCGCTACAGCTGCAACAGCGCTCCAATCCTGTAGACGCGAATGCCCTAGCGACCAATCGGCATCGGCCGACTGGTCGCTAGGGCACTGGGAGGGTAGAGAAGAATGGGAGAGTACAACTGCGTGATCAGGCAACGCGTACCCTTCTATTCCCCCATACTCTCTCTAATCCCAAGTGGCCGGCTGCGAACAATGCCCACTGCGGCAACCTTCGCGTCTGTAGGAATGGAGTGCTGCTGCCATTGTAGAGCGTCGTCGCGCGTCAACGCGAATTCTGAGCGCTGCTTTATAAACTACACTACGTCTGTGAAACACGTGGAGCAATCAGTCCTGTTACTGCAAATACTACGAAGCTCCGAACGCTGAAAAGCATCTACCCTGCCGGCGCTGTTCGACGCGGGGGAGGGCATTTAGCACTTTTACAGCTCACTAGTTCCAGTTTGCATGTCACACATTGCCTATTCACGTCAGATAGCCAATATGGTGTTTTCAGAGAAAGAGAAGAAAAAACTGCTCTTCCACATACTTCACAGTGAGTTTTGCGATTGACACTATAACTCAAATTATTCTGTCAAGGGAGTTATTAGAAAACAGGAAGTGAAGTTTGCGCGACGAACGAAAGCTTCTTGGTATTCTAGAACTAGTATAGCTGGATAAGCGCAAGTCATGCGCAATCAGTTCTGTTTTGTAACTTCCACGATTCTTCACTGGTGTCAGGAAGAGGTTCCGCAATTTGTGAGGTGTTTAGGAAGTCCTCGCAGAAAACACGCGACATCCCGTGCGCCGCATTCTCTCAGAGACCTAACTGATTCAACATGGTACCTAACTGATTTGACGCCGCCACAGTATGGATATCCTAACAGGCACCTCGTCGAAAGGTGGCACCAGCTGACTTTCGAGCAGAGACTTTCAATCCCGTTACATGCAACTCAGAATGGAAGTGCCAGTCCTATTAGGCGTATCATTAAAGGCATAAGGCAAAATAATTCGGCACTCTGAAATATCTGGTCTGAAATAGTTACGGGGGTGCTATCTGATGGGAGAATGGCGAAAAAGCGATGTGGAACGGACAAAAACCCGCAAAAGAAGCCTCTTCTACAGACACAGGGGAAGCAATTTTGGACGAGTTTCCTGTTGGCCTTGTGCCAATAACACCACCAATGGATATAGCTTCATGTATGTAACTATATATCCATGCAGCACCGCAACCGCTTCATATCAGTCTCTTCGCTTGAACTCTGCCTTGCAAATGAAGCAATACGAGCATCAGCATCGGTCGGAAATCTGTGGCCGGCCGGTTAGCGTCCGGGTCGGTATGTTGCAGCTTGATAGGGTGCTATAAGGGTACCTCTTTGGAAAAAGCGCCACGCAGCGCCTGCTCAGGGGCGCTGAATTCTGCCCTGCTAAGCGAATAAATCCTACAGGTCTTAGGAATTCATCGTGCCAGTTGCCTCTAAGGGTCAGTCGTGCCTTAATCTACATATTCTCTTGCATTTTCTTCCACATTACGCTTAGTTCCACTGACATTTTAGACCATCAACGCGAACTTCGATAGGTTCTGGCGATGAGACTAAGGATCAGTCGAAGGCGGCAAAGCGCTTACAGGTCAGCTGATAATTAGAATAGATTTCGAGAGCCACAGGGTAGTAATCTTTCTGATACCTGATATGGTAGTGTCGTGCAGCATAATGCTAGTCTGAAGGTTCAGCAGTACTACTTGGCTTTGAGGTTAGATTTAAAGTGTTCAATACAATAAATCAGTGGTTGCAGGTTAAAGTCTTCGTTGAAGAAACACTCAAAAAAGGTGTGCAAGGACTAATAGCCGAGTTCAAAGCAATGAAAAGAGTGAACGATTTCACTAAAATGACCGAGTTTGTCGCACAGATTCCACAAGGAAGGAATCGTTACAAGGTAGGTTAGACCACAATCTATAATAAGCATTTACAGTATACCTGTGGGTGGGCTGGTATGCTACAGTCTTGTTTGCTGCGGATGCTGAGGCGCTTCAGGGGGCTGCGTTCGGCACGGCGCTAGCCGTTCTACACCAAATTGGCCGTTTCCAGCTCAGAAGTGACTGTACATCGAAATCCTGCTCTAGCTCAGGGAATCCATGGTGCGCCGATGCGAACGATCTAGCTGCTACTTCTTACACTCTAATTCGCTGCGAACGATTGGGCGTGTCAAGCAGTATGTGTCACCTCGTCAAAGCCGTTCTCTGCCTTCTTGTTGATACGCGCATGCGACAAAAAGTGGTAGAAAACGAGTAACACGATGGATATTGATACAGTATTGCAGCCGCACTGACATGCCCAACCGTCCGCAGCGAACTGCACTATAGCTTGTTAGCTTGATATGCTGCAGCATTCCCACATTAAATGAATAAGATCCGGTGTGAATGTCGCGCGCGTGACAGCACTCAGGGTACAGCATGGGGATGTGCGAAATGTCGGTGTGAGTACGACCCCCCCCTTCGAATGGGGTCCAGGCACGACCAAAAGTACAACCCCCCTCCATGGGTTTGACACAACGATGCTGTACCCTGACAGCACTTCCAACGCTGCGCCGTCGCAACACGGACCGCCTTAATTACTGCCTCGAATTCCACACTTAGAGACCCAAATTTTAATAAATCCTTCCAAACGGAATGCAACATTCATTCCATGAATTGCAGGACGTTGGATGTCTCGATGCCTACCGGGTTGTCCTGAAACTCGGGCCTGTTTCATACATCCATGCAAACTACGTGTCAACGCCAATGAATGCCAAGCGCTTCATCTGCACTCAGGTCTTGTTCTTCTCGATTTTATGCAGCCATGGTTTGCAAATGCACTGTAAAATGTCAGAACTGTACAGGCAAGATATGTGAACCTTTCAACAGTTACTTGTCCAAGTACTCTATTCAGGCTCCACTGCCAAAAACGTGCGCAGAGTTTTGGTATATGGTGGTGCAAGAAAAGTCTGTGGCTATACTTATGTTGTGCAATTTTGTGGAACAGGTGCGTTTCAAAGTCACAAAAACTGGGGTCCGTAACTTCGTCTTTTCTGAATCAGTCCCTCATCAGTTTCACACTCCCTCTTTCAGCGGAAAAATCTAACCAGACAGGCGTATTTGTAAATAGGAGGGGATGCCTGTAGGGTACAGTAGACCAAGGTTGATACTCGAGTAAGCTGTCCACGCCCCGAAGAACACAAGACGCCTCACCGCAAATGCAGTACGGTGTGGCCTCGCCCCTCTGTGTGCTCTCGGGCCAAGGCAACGTTTTGCCGTTGGGAGAAAAATCGCAAAATTACGACCTCTATCAGAATTTCGTCCTCTGGCCTGACACCCTCCTTCCGTGCCGTTGTTTCGAATTAAATCCAGAGGTATACGTAATCAACGTGCTGGTCGTTCGGTAATATTCTCCTTCCCCACGTGAGCCCAACTAAATGCTGTGTGGAACACACTTTCGCCTCTTTTTAGACCCCTCTGTCCTTTTTGTTATTTAACTGCGGAAAAATTTCCAGAATGCCAAAAAATGTGCCGAATACTTTCCGACGGAGGAGGGAACGCCGCTTGAATTTGATGAAGTCAGCGTTGTGATGAAGAAGCAAGAGCATGTTAGTTGATATCTTGTTAACAGACAGGTTTCGGTTACCTTGCTATCGTCTACTCCCTTCTCAGCGCATCCGGCATGGTGGGGGCATTTCGCTGATTCTTATCGATCGCCTTCTTGCTGGAGATCTGTAAACTCTTGTGAAATCAAGCAATAGCACGAGTTCTTGTTTACGGTCAGACTTCGCGACGGGCGTCGACGCGCTACGATTGTAACAGCGCTCCAATCCTATAGGCACGAACGCAGCCGCCCACGGCAACTGGCCGCCCTAGCACCCAGTGGCGATCGATACCAGGCTGCATGGTCTTTGTGGGGCGCGCGAGCAGCACATCGCAGCAATACGACGGCGCTCGAAGTGCTGAACAGCTGCCTTTAGTCGACATCTGGAAAATGTTTATGTCCGTATCTCACTAGCCGTATGATTAAGACCGCGCGCAGCACTACATAGTTCAAGATAGGTAAATATTGATTGAATCACGACAGAAAATGAGTATGTATTAGCCTGAAATTTGCTCGCTCTCTGCTAGGTGAACAACATGGTGCAGCGCATATCAAGTCATAGAACATTTCCGGCCCGTACGTTGAACGCCTCGCAAAATAGACGTCGATCGCGGGCTTACGAGTGACGAAAATGAAATTAGTGGCACACAAGAGCAGGAGCGGCCCGACATGAACGTGAACTTGTCGAGCAAAATTCTTGAAACATTATAAGAGCGACACCTAAAATATGTGGATGAAGGGAGAAGGCCCTGTCTCTAGTAGATGCATAGCTCTCACTCAGTTCGTTTCACTACTGGATCCATGAAGTCACTGCACACCCACGCGTTGCGCATTGAAGACCAATTGGTTCTCTGCAGGGAGTACGACCACAAGGCAAAAAAGATTATTGCATCAAGGATACGGATCAGAGACCAGAGAACTACGAAAGATCCTAATCGTTACTATTTTACTTGATCTACACTATATTTTACGCGCCGTTCCTTTTCACAACAGCACGCAATGAGATATTGAAAGAACGATGATGAAGTTTTGGACTATTCAAGAAAGCCAAAAACGCGTCGCGGTTTTGGTCGAAAGCCGCGATACGATTACCAAAAACCTTTCGCCCAAGCGCCAGGCTCTTCGGCACCAACCGCACAGTCGATCCGTATGCGAAAACTTTTGTGCCGAACCGGCCGGCGTTTGCAGATGAAACGCTGGGTCCGCAGCGGTCATGAACAATGCTAATCTGCTCGCTGATTCCGCGCAGTGGGGGCTTGGTTACCATCACACCAACATTGATTGCACGGATGATCTACCCATCTGCGGCGACGGCTGGATCACCGATATGTCACAGACTTGACGGCCATTCTAAAGTGGTCTGGCTGCATGGGCTTTCCAAGTCGCTTTATAAGTCGCTTGTTTTGGAAGACGCCACATATAGCCTGCTTGGTTTTCCCTTCCTGCTGGGCACATTTTTCTCCTAATGCTGGAAGGCAGTGGGCACGATAAATGGAGGCAAAAGGTTGTTGCCAGCGTCACTGGTGAAGGGCTGTAGGATGACGCTCAGGCTAAAACTGCCCAGGCGCTTTTTGTGGACGTGGACCAACTTCCTTCCATCACTAGATCCGCCAGGACACACCGCGCCTGCCTCCAGCAATCTCTGTTCACTGCCTTTAACAATACCATAGACAATTGCGCTGGTAGACATTCAAAAAAGCACCAGCTCAAATGATAATACTGCTTTCCAGTACCCATTTCATTCGAACAAAGTGAAGGGTGATGGTGAGACAAGTTGGAAGTGAGCGTACCTGGACAACCGGTGCACATATGTTCCCACTACCATTGGATGGACTGGCCGGATCGAGGTGTACCTGAGGCTGACCTGGCACCTATTGCTCTCCTTGCAAAGCTGAAAGAGAACACGTAAGTTTTCAGGAAGGCTATTCAGTCTTGTTCGCTGCGGATGCAGGGACGCGTCAGGAAGTTCAGCGCGACGCAGGCCCGTTCTCCACCAATTGTTGAAGCAGGGAAACGGCTACGATTAGAGAAAAACGGGCTGGCGCTGCGAAAAACCCAGCTCCCGTCACGGTCCGGCGTCTGCAGCGAGAACGACGGTAACACCTCACGGCTGCTGAGATACAAACTGGAATATTTCTTGATAGCCCCAAGCTATAATAAATGGTTTACTTTCCAGCGCACCCATTATCGTTCATTGTTCCGCCGGTATTGGACGAACAGGATCCATAGTTCTCATTGAACATGCCATGGAACTTCTTCACCAACCAGCACCTTTAGTTGAGATCAAAGATTATCTTGTGGAGTTACGGAAGCAGCGGAACAATAGCATTCAGGTATTAAATTCAGGCCACATTGAATAAGCTCTTTTCAGTCGGAGGGCTTACTTGGCTGTAAACACCGGGTATAGGAAATCGCTATGTGGGCGGGATTAGGGAACGACGTCATTGGCGCGCTCCTTGACTGCCACCCTTGAATGGCGATGAAAAAAGGGGCGGAGGACGACGCGCCAATCACCTTGATTCCTGGCTCCGCCCTCTAGTCGGTTTTGAACGGTATTTTGAAAAACTTTGGCCATCGCTTGTATAATTTTAGACCGAGCACCAGTACCTATATATCCATCAAGTTCTACTGCTGTACCTGAAGAAAACGAAGTATTTGGATGATAGTGTCACACCTTACTTAGACGCTTTCACAAAAGATTACGTTTCTGCTACAAGAGGCTTCTAAATGGAAATCGTCCCATTTCAAGAGTATCTCGAATTTCCTTCATTATGAAGTGG